CCCCCCCCTCACTTAAAGGAGGTAGTTTCGCTCCTGTCAACAGAACATTGAATGAACAAAGTCGTTTTCACTTTCTGTCTCTATAAGTCATCCATATTCCTCCTCCGAGACCAATGAATATGTTCAATCGAACTTCAAGGCGTAAACACAGTGAATGCAGTGGTGAATGTCACACAAACGGAGATAATCTTGCATATCCACAAACTGCAACACAGTGTTGACACATGATTGTGAGGTCGATTAACTCGAGGGAAAACGAGCCAAAGAATAGTTTTTGACCCAATATATAATTTGAATACTTGGCGTAGGTTCGTAATCCTATATTTGGCGAATTTCTTTTGACCATTAATTTTACACAAACAAAATTCAATCCTATCCGTACGTCACGACACTATTTAGAAAGAAACTGATATGCCTCATGCTTACTTGTTATCAGAATGTTAGTATCAGTATAATAATGTGAAATCCGACTTGAAAGGCTAATTCTCATGGGTTCTACAAATTCGAGGAGTGTTATTTAACCTTGCGCAAGACATCGTTGAAAACCATATCTTTGCAACAACGCGTAAAATCATAATTTTAGATTAAAATATGAAAAGCTTAATTGCAGAGAGAAGCAATAAATTTATGTGACGAAAGCTCTTTGTGCATTTCGAATGGCTGGTACCGGTCCGGAGAACAATTTTCCTCCTCGTTGATCATGAATCACTCATCTTTTTATTTCATGTTTTATAGAATCCTATACCTAAATGATTAAAATAATTGATTTTTAGATATGCAAATACGTTTAGTGGTTAATTTTTAATTACCAAACACTTTGATAATGGATTACACATCGGAAGAGTTTCAAAGAAATAAAAAGTGCCACAAGATGACGTTCGTAAACGTACTTGGAGAACTGCTTCAATCATGGAAGACTCGATATTCGAAAAAGAACATACACGAAACCATCAACATCAAGCATGAATACATAGAGTTCTTGCAGCATACAGATTTCCGAAGAGACCTGAAAATATATTATCCTGATTTGGTTGCATCTATCGGTCATAAATATGGCGAGATAGAGCTCAAAGGTCCAGCTTGCCAAGTTGTAGACGCCACTGTCATAATAAAGGAGCAACTACACAGAATTTGTGAGAAGCAGTTAACGTTATCTCAGTCGACCTTAATTTGGAATATTGTTGCAAAGAATCGATGGAATGAATACTTCGCCAGACAACTTGGTAAAGAAAACATAAAATCTAAAGTAAGTTATACCATAGTTATGATATAGCTAGATATGCACTGAACCTACCTACCCCGTTACAACATATCATGTGATATGTCATGAACAGAGGATTGCCAAAAAAAGGAGCTCCCCCCCTTTACTGAAACTAAAATTGACAATAATTATCATAATTCTTATATTTTATTAGATAATCACAGGAAAAACACTCTGACTTGATCTAACATCCTTAATACTGTCCAATAAGCACACAAAAAGTTAATAGGCAGTGTAGGATATCCACGGCTGTTGACAACTTTTCGACAGCACCTTGGCATACACTCTACAAGATTATGATGGTATCAGTCGTTGCTGAGATTCTTCTCCCATGTCTGCTTCAAACACTCAAACAATTGTTCCTCGCTTCGGCATGTACGTTTATTCAGTTGCCTGCCAAGCCACTAGTGGCCTACAAATTTTCGATTTAATTCAAGTCTATAGGCTTTGTGGTGGCACATCAATTTGTTTATTTCTGAGATAATTTAGCACGATATGAGCTGTGTGTTTTGGATCATTGTCATGTTGAAAAATCAAGTTATTTCCCTGAGTCGTCGGCCTGAAGGTCTTTTGACGAATTAATATTTGTCGATATCTTCCTTTGGGTAATATTCCTTTTATTTGAAGAAATGTTTCAACTCCCTTCCACGAGAAACATCCTCGTACCATAATTTTTTCTGGTGCTTTAAAGTTCCTTGTAAACATCGAGGTGTATACTGTTGCTTTCGAAGACGCCAGACGTAAGATCGATTTTGGCAACGGAGGACATATGGTGATTCCTCAGACAAGACGACCTTCTTCCATTGATCAACAACTTCCATTGAAGTGAGGAACACTTGTTTGAGTATTAACAATTCTCATGTTAGTCGTTACGTTCAGGGGGTGTTTAAACTGTAGCTTGTGGTTATAACCAATTGCAAACCATGAAGCATCATTCAACTCTTTCAACAAACGGAACGTTACTTTACTGAACGCACGATTACCTTCATAATCTTGTAGAGAGTATGCCAAGGTGCTGTCGAAAAGTTACCAACATCAGCGGATATCTTATTGCCTATAATTAACGTTTTGTGTGCTTAGGACAGTATTAAGGATCGATCAAGTCAGAGTGTTTTTCCTGTCATTATCTAATAAAAAATAAAAATTATGATTTTTATTTTTCTATTTTAGTTAAGGTATAAGGGGGGGGGGGGCTCCTTTTTTATGGCAACCCCTGTATCATGACTTCCATCATCCAAGGGTGGGGGGGGGGGGATATGTAATGCTATATGAAAACAAACACAAACTAACTTCAGAAACGCCATTATCTGGTGAATTCCTCTGAGTGCTATCCATATATGAACAATTTCGAGTATGTAACAAGCATAACCCTCATCTAACAAAACATCGCAGCAATGGTCAAAAGGAACTCTTGAACTTGTAGTATAAGCTATTTCAGACTTTTAAACATTTGTCTCCCTTTTAAAACATTTTAGTTTGTTTGATATGTAATAGGCATGTAATATCGACATCGACATAATCACGCGTTTGATTTCAGTCAAAATTGCACTCCATTCAGTTCAATTACCATTATAAATAGTTCAACACATGAAAGCTAACGATATAGCCTACGCATGGTAGGAAGAACAGTTTTGTAACATCTGTCAATCATGATGTGAAAGTTATTAAAAAATCTTGAGACCCTTCATACATGGAAGGTAGCAAATGGAGAAGTTTATATGATGGATCGTTGATGATGTTATTATTAGCATGACAAAATTACTGGATGCTGATTGGTTGAGAGGAGTACAATTATTTCATTAATTGTACTGCAGTACAATTAACGATTTTCCCACAACAAACAAAATGGCGGAAAGGTATTTTAAACACAAGCGTGAAAGGAAGTTGCCCTAGAGGAACTAGATGAAAATACGAACAAAAGGACCAAAATTTGCTTTAACAAAAGAACTAAATGAAAATACGAACAAAAGCACCAAATTTTGGTTGAATATCTGGCAGGACTGGCCTTTGGCGAGAGAATATATGATGTTAACATTGAGAAGTATCCAATTTTGTCATGCTAATAATAAACAAGTAATCATGCGATGTTGCTCGTACAATTATTGATTAATAGTACTCGTGATGTTTGGAAATTTGCCAAATTGGACTCGTCCCGGCGGCTCGTCCAATTTTGGCAAAATTTCCAAACATCACTCGTACTATTAATCCCTAATTGTACTCGCCATCGCATGATTACCTATACTTATTGAACACTTTATAACACATGTCTTCCCGTCTTTGGGAAAGTGTGGAAAAGTTAAAGTGGTCAAAATTCTTTCAGAAGACTGTCCTGCTAAGATAACTGACAGCACTCGTCTTTGCACGCGTTCGAGATCTTCGGACAGAAGCGCCGAAAGTGAATGATAGAACACTTGAGCACAGTACTACAAGACCGACCTAATGGAAATACAATAGAAATTTATAATTTTAAAAACGAAGATAGATTCTGGAAAGGTTAAAATAGCTTATTTACAGATTTAAGAGTCCTTTTTCCGATAAGATCAAATTAAAATCTATTGACGATGCTGTGTAATTTATAACTGTTGATACATATGAGTTTCCTTTGTGCTTTGCTACGGTTGAATAGACAAATGGGTGTCTGCAAAACCCCGAAGTCTACCAGAATTGAAATTCCAACAACCCTTACAGGAACACTAATAACACCCAAAATCCTTACTGGAACACAGGAAAACTCAGGACCCAACTCGAATAACCCATAATATTGCCTGGAACCCCCGAAGCGCATAAAACATTCAAAGACGCATTTGCACGCTTAACAAATTTTACTCCAAACATGAATGGTTGATATCATGAGATTTTTTTAACAATGTGTGCAGGCCTAAAAGTAGTAATTTCTATTAGAACTTCCTTTTAGTACAGACTTGGATTCTTAGTTTTATCATCACACTTTGTTAAACGTATAAAGCTTGTTTTTTTTTTTTCTATGTTTAATTAAAACACATGGCGGGGTTGTTTCTAAAACGAAATTCGGCTTGCTGCCGTATGTACGGCTTCTGTGAGGTTGTATAACTCTTCTTTCGTTCGTATTTATATATCTCTAAAAGTTTCTAAATCTGCAGTGAAAAGGATGGAAGTTACTGTGAACTACTACAACTAAACCAAGCAGCATCGTTCACAATATAACTAATCTGATCGAATTCATCCATTCATGTCTGCATTGGCGTCAAGTCTGTTGAAATGTTAGTATTCTTCCTGTTCCGGATAGGATTTGCGCGTCTCAATAATTCCGGGTTGCCTGCCGGATTTTACAGGCACCATAAAAAGTACTAAAATTTCTCACTTATGATTTAACTATTGCACACGACTATTAATGGTGTAATTACACACACAATACTACGTGACAAAGCACACAATGCCATTGTAATTTTTATTGAACTTTTAAGGTGTGTGTTGGTCCATCAAATGCATTAGTGATTCTAGCGTTTAGTCAAGAAGAATGTGAAAGAGCGTTTGAAATCATGTTTGAAATAGTAAGGGAAGATACATTGTCCATCAGAAAAGACTGCTCTGTTCAGAGTAATCAGTTTCAATCGCTAATCTCCAAGTTGCAACGTGGCACCTTGGTACAAATAGAGGTATTGCCAAATGCTGAAGAAAATGTACTTAGAATAATTGGCGTAGACGAAGATATCGCACGAGCTATCCAAGAAATTTCTGATTTCATTAAAGAAGACCGAATACACAGTGATACACACCGACCACAGGTTTCCGAATACGTTTGGAACTTTCTTGCTAGACGGGTCGACCATGAAAGTGTTAAGCAGATAGCGAAAGATTTAGAGCATTATAGAGTTTCGATACATATCATGGATGATCATGAGCAATTTCTCGTGTGTGGCCTCAGCAAAGGCATTGAACAGTGTAAACAACGTTTGAATGAGCTCGCGTCAATGATAGTAGAACGACAGAAAAAGTTGGAATATCCTGGAATTAAAAATCTGTTTCTTGATCAAGCCGGAAAGGAGCAGTTGCAAATGATTGAAAAGGAAATGGATGTCGAAATTGAGATACTACGAAGCGACAACAAATTGTCAAAAGCGCCTGTACCTTTGCCTAGGACACTCTCCCTTCCTAGTAAGAAACCAGAAAGCGTTATGTACGACGTGTGCAGTTTCACGACTAAAGAGGGATTAAACGTCTCTTGGAAATATAGTAGTATAGAAAATGAAGCGGTAAGTAAGTTGGAAACGCTTAACCTGTAACACAGAACTAACTTGAAATGCTGGCTACAAATTCTCTTTAGGCATTAGGTAATTATTTTAATATCTCTAAATTACTCCGTTCCGCAGCAACGTTGGAGTTTCCTTTATATCATTCTTCAAAAAGATTCAACAAACCGAGATAACGAAAACATTTAATGGTTTTCGTCCAATTTGCGACACTATTTGTTGTCAATTCTGCGAAAATATTTTATCGCTATTCCTCGGTTTTACATGTTTCAATTAATATTCTAAACATCTGTTATTTCAACTAAATTTTTTACTGTTTTGTCATTCGTTAATTTAATTTATAAAATATCATGTATATAACGCGTGCTCTGATTGGTCGAAACCCGTGTGTGGATTAGGTCATCCAAACACAGAAATTTAAAGTGAAAGTTTTTTTAAAGTGAAATTTTAACACGGAAAGATGTTATTTTATAAAACAATTACTTTATGGTTTCCGTGTTTGGATGCCTGATCCAAACACTTGGGAATGTTGCTCGAGTTAAGAAAAACGCGCAAAATCACTTGCCTTCGGCTCGTGTTTCGCGCGCTTTTCTTAACTCTCGCAACATTCCCGCGTGTTTGGGTTAGGCCATCCAAACTCGGGATCCATAAAGTAATTGTATAACACTTCGGGTCTATCAAAATACAATACATTTTTAACAAGAGGACGCTAACGATACATTATTCCTAATCTATCCATGCTGAATTTATCTCATTTCTCCTTACTTTTTCGGAGAGTGTCATAATCCTGTCTACATGCAGTGACGGCTTGAAATGCGTAAAGGATTCCCTCATTCATAGTAGCGTAGCGGAGGTGTTGACATGGGAGGAAGAAATGGCGTAACTTTGCGCTAAAGGGCCCCCGCGGCTTGAACTGAAATAGGGCCCCTGGTTCTGCCCATTTAAAGTGGCGTGGGGGGGGGGGTGGCGCTACGTCAAGAAGATGCAAAATTTTGCTGCCATCAACTTCGCCACTTTGTCATCCTTGTTGAATGACGCCCTAACTAAGTAGCTACGTCACTGGGAGGGAGGGGGGGGGCAAACATAGATTCCGAACACGAGCGCCACTGGCACGTGAAATGTTGCAATTCTAGGGTATTTTTGCTTCTTAAAGTTTCAACTTTTCACAGGAACAATTCTGGATAATTGGAATCCCACCCTTTCCCTTAGCTACGCTACTCGTAGTTTCCTCCACTTCAGGAATAATGTTATGTCGCGTCCTGCAAAACATTTTCAATTTTTTGTTAAGCAAAATTATATAATATCGGCAAACACGGTTACCCTGAGTGTGTCCACACCGGGCAAGATGAGAAATTTCGTTGATCGCGGCAGGAACGGAACCCGCAACCATCGATTTACTGATTTGGCATTAGAAAATAGCAAACACAAAGTCGCAGGTTCGATTTATGCCGCTGTCAAACAAATTTGTCAGCGCTTGCCCGGTATGGACTCACTCAGAGTAACATCATCTTGAAATCGTGAAACAGCCATGTTCTTATTTGTTTGAAGGCTGATGTGTTGGTAAACTCTGCACACACGAACCTTAATCATCCTACTGCATGTGGTCGAGCATTAATGGTTCGTGGAGGATCGTGTTTTCAAGAAGCATGTAAACCGCACATAGCTATACGGCCAGGAGACATTATAGCAACGGAAAGTGGTAACCTTTTGTCTAAGTATGTTATCCATGCTGTGTGTCGCAATTTGAATCGATTTAAGGAGCCGTCACCTGCACACGAGGTATGCTGGAATGCTGGAACTTAGACTATTGTTAGCAGGCCTTGTATTCTAGAATGTTAAATGGCTCGCTAAGACTACGCGTGCGCTGTTTTGAAAATGTTTTTGGGCAGTTTCAAAAATCCATCCAATATGGTGTCAACACAAACGCTTTGTGTCGTTGCAAGGCGATATTTGGCATGGAAGATGCAAGATTAGCACAGGAGTAATGGTGGGAAAATTAGGAGGCGGACAAAAATTTGCTCGTTTATGGAAATTGCCTGACAAATACAAAATACATTTTACGTCATAAACTTTCAATAATTGCTGTCGACGTTACGTATTTCTCCCTTTTTCGCTACAGAGCAGGGGTGCATGGGACAGAATAAACATGTCACGTTATTAATCATTTCCAAGATTTTTAAGTAGAATTACCAGATTTTTAAGTAGAAAATGTCAAACCAAATTTAATTTTTTAGCATGCAACATTTCACTTTTCTCTAAGTAAATGATGTTCCATATAATATTGGCGAATTTTTCTTTTTTCTAGTTTTTACGTGGGTTGGTGCGAAAAATCCTTGAGAAATGCCACGAGTTGGGGGCATCTTCGCTTGCAATGCCATTGATTGGCGCAGGTCATCATGGATTTCCCGTGGAAGTTGTTTTACAAGTAATCAAAAATGAAATAAACCAACTTAGCAGCAGCAAAGGAGCTCAGCTAACTCTCAAAGATATTTGCATTATTGTATTTCAATCTAAACCTGAGAGAAGGAAAACAGTGCCTTTACCTACTAAACCAGAGATTTCAGTTCCACCCACCTCTGACGAAAAAGAACTGAATGATGCAAGCAGTTCTACTGAAATCGCTTTTGAACCGGTTCGTATTTGCCTGTGTGGTGGCAACGCATCACAATATCAAGCTGATGCTATGATCAGTTTATCTTCAACAAATGTAAGAGCGTCGACAACAGCCTCCCAATCCACGTGTATCCAACAAGGCGATGATGGAATCGACTTCTGTGATTCTACGCCAGAAGAATCAATGAAACAACCATCCGGCACTGTATTGGTGACAAAAGCTAGTAACGGCGCGAATGTAAAATACTACATGCACTCTGTTCCTGTCCCGTTTGATATTTCCGGCTTGGAGCGTGCAACAAAAGCTTGCTTAGACGCTGCGAAGTTTTACGCATGTAATAGCGCAATAATATTGGCAACAGAAATAACTTTGTTCAACATCGCCGCCAACGAATGCGCCAATGCCATTCTGAGCGCATCCCAAACCTTTTCGAATACAAGTTTTGCGATGGATATTCGGGTGGTTACGCTTGATATGGATATGATGCAAATCTTCCAAAAAGCTTTCGAAGAAAAGGTAGAGGAGCAAAGAACGAGTGTGGAATTCCGCGAGAGTGGTCAGATAGCTGGTTTTATGCACGCGGTAGTCAATGATCAGCGTTCTGCGAACAAAATCTTAAACATCGGAGAGAATGATGAAGTTATTTTTCGAGTTGTTGGTTTCCATGATAACGTCACCATATCCATCGAAAAAATAGAAGCATATTTCACACGATGCAAAGCAAGCAAATCCGTAAAAGATGCGAAAACGGTTAACGGATTTTGGAAGAATAACTCTGTAATTAAAAGATTATCGAAAGGGTACGAAGTTTTCATCACTTTATCAGCTGAAGAAGTCTCTATCGAAGGAATGACGGAACAAGTCTTCGAATGTAAAGATGCATTAATTGATTTTTTAAACAAGCACGATGAGAAGGAAAGAGAGTTGAGAAGATTACGTGAAATTTCAGAAAGTGTGCAATGGTCGTATTCTGATGCGAATGGAACCGTCCTGTTTGATGAAATCCTTAATGGAATGGTTGAGAGTGAGTCCAGAGTTGGAAATAAAAAATTTAAAGTCCCAAGTATGGAAAACACGCATGAAGTTGTTCTGGATAAGATGATCATAAAGGAACGTCGCACTGGTCGCACCGCACTACTTGCAAGGAAGCATATGGAAAACACTTTGGGTAATTTTGACTAATATACTGTATTTAATTGGTGTTGTAGATTCAGGCATGACTAAATTTTCACACTTCGTGAGCCAACTACAGCCCCAAGATGGAAGGAACACATCGTTGATTAAGACGACTAATGGGCAATTTCATTTGAAACACGCCGGTTGCATTTTTTGTACGTGTCATGCATGTTGCTCTGAGGAAGTCAAAATTATAAATAAACTCTTTCTTTTCATGCACAAAAGGGTTTTGTAGGTGGAAATTACGAGTGTAAATTTGGTACATTTGTTTGAATCTACAACCAGGAGCAGATGCGAAAAATTAAACTATACACCCTCTGGCAGGAATCGAACTCCGTCCTTGCGATTCTAGTGCAATTCTCTAACAGAGCTACAAAGTGCAGTTGTCGAGCTCTATAACCGCAAGTTCATGTATATATACTGTATATTAAGGAATTTCAAATATTAAGGGGTGTCCCCCCCCCCAACCCCCGAATAGGCCCCTACCCTCAGGATTTACGCCTCCGTAATCGATTTTAGAGATTTTCTTTTAAACCCGAGAAAAAAGATTTTCTGTTAAACTTATTTTATTGACAGAGTATAGATCCCTGAAAAAAACTTGCAAAGTAACAAACTCAAAAACAATATTTTTTTTCAGTTTTGCCTATATATTGGGAACCACAACCAAAAGATGAAAATGTCCACTTAGTCGCTTTGCCCACTTCGTCAAATGAATACCAGAAAATTATTGATCTCTTTGGTCCAGCAAACGACTTGATAATAGTGGAAAAGATACAAAGAATTCAAAATCCTCGTTTATGCAAAATGTATCTTTGTAAAAAAGAGTCGATGGGGATGGAAGCAAACGAGAAGCAGCTGTTTCATGGCACGAAGTCAGAGAATATATCTTCTATCAACACAAACAATTTTAATCGACGTTTTTCTGGCATAAATGGTAAGAAAAATTATTTTCAATTTTTTTCAAAGGTGCGTTGATAGCTATCTACAGAAAGGCCAGCAATACGGAATCTCTAGAATGACTAATTCAGTGAACCGAAACCTTATACTTAAAGCTTTTTCAAGAGGAAATTTTCGATATAGGTTACTAATACAGAGTTTATAAAGGTTCTTAGTTGGTTATACTTTTATGATAATACATTATTTCTCTCAACAACTTGATGTTAAGTTATAATTAAAAACGTAAAATTATAATATTTAAAACTTGAAAAAGAGCGAATGAAAGTAAAGATATAGGAAACCAACTTATCAGTACCTGTTGTTAGTATATAGTTTAATTAATATATTACGTCGTAAGTAAACAAAAATTTTGTTGTTAATATTATAATAACAGAATAACTCACTAAATATTTATTTATTTATTTATTTATTTATTTATTTAACTTCGCCATTATCATGCATGGCAGGGTCACCACAACAGTATGGTACCAATTACTGTGGGCCCATTAAATAGATAATAAAACACAAATAAAACACATAATCAACGAAAACCGATTTACCTGTTCAAAGTCATCACACTTAACATTAGTATTAAGCACTGGGTGTTTTTGCAAATATTCAAATATGTCTGCTATTTTTCCTCGTAAAAACTTGCAAAATCACCCATATTCTGAGTCTGGCTTTAAGATACTTTCTTTGGGAACCTCTGAATCTTATCTGGCCTTCTTATTCGTGAAAACCTATGCGGAATTTCAAAAATTAACCCAGTCCTTAATGCTAATATTGTATTCCCCCTTATCGAGTTATTCTAATTATAATATGATCTTTTAATTAAGTAGCTACATAACATTAAACTATATAGCTATTCACAACAGATCTGATAAGTTGGTTTCCTATCGTTATAACTTGGTGTTAGATATATACTATTACTATATGCATGCACTAGCCCATCGGTTACCGCAAATCTTAGACATATAATAATTTTGCCTGATTTATTGAGATCGATCATTCATGCATCATGACCGACACCATTCGGCAAAGATTGTGATATAGAAATTATAATGTTGTTTTGTTGTACTTTAAATATAGTACGCAAAATCAACTCTTGATATTTTCTTAGGTACCAGGTTTGGCCATGGTGTATATTTCGCAAGGGATGCTTCCTATTCTGTTCGCTATTCGCTGAAAGATAGCGAGAAAGAAAATAGTGTCTTCCACATGTATGTAGCCAACGTTCTGGTTGGGAAAAGTGTGAAAGGTGATAAGAAAATGCGCGTCCTGCCAAAGCGAAATGACCCGCGCAACCCGGAGTTATTTTACGACTCTGCTGTAGATGATACGGAAGATCCATCTATTTTCGTGACATTTGATGATCATCAGTGCTACCCCGAATATTTGATCACATTTAAGGCAGCATAACTCCCTTGAGTTCTTTGCATACTTAAGTAGGTTCTTCCTTTCTTATGAAAAATTGAAATGTTCGAAGAGGTAAAAAGACTAAGGTGTATACAGTCTGTATAAATACAAAATAGAAATCTAGGTAAAACTATATAACGTTATATTATTCTCCCACGGTAAACAATCAAAGCGCATTAACGTTCAACTTGATCAATGCTGTTAATCATCTGTTCAGTGGTAGTTCAGTGAATTAAAAAATTGCAACTCTTTGCCATCTTACTATCTTTTTCCATCTTTTTCCATCGGCGTTACTTGTGTGATGTGTGGGAGGTGTTTTCATGCTAAAAATTCCTGCATTAAATCGACTCTCACATGTCAACAAACGGAAATTGATACATGCCACATATGCTTAAGCAACTCGTTACCTTTTAACTCAATAGATCCATTAGATTTTAATTTTACTTTGGGGGATTTCTCTCGATTTCCCAGTGAGGAGGATATGGATAAATTAATGCGACTTAAATTTAATCCTTCTGACACTAAACACACACCTATAGGTAATGATGATTATTATATAAGTATTGAGATTTACTCATCGAAATCGCAGTGCGTAATAATCGTTCCAAATTAGCAACAGCCAATCAGCAACGAGAACGATGAAATCTCACTAGTGAAAAATCATCGTTCGCCGTTGTTGATTGGACGAACGATGTTTTTTCACTAGTGAGAAATGATCGTACGGGAAAATACGTCATTTTTCATTTGGCGCGGAATTGCGAATTTAATTATTTAAAACAACAAAATGGCTTCGCGATTTGTTGACGCCGGTTCTGTTGACGACTTTATTTTGGAACAGGAGAACAAGAGCAAGGCGCAAAAAACACTGCGTGATGTTAAATTATTACAACTATTTTTGGTGAACAAGAACGAAGAAAGAAACATTGAAGATATCCCGATAGGAGAACTAAACGAATACATGTCTGACTTTATAATTTCGGTCAGAACCAAAAACGGAAAAGAATACGAGCCATCTTCTCTTCGGAGTTTACTGGCAAGTTTCGAGCGGCATCTTAAGAGGAAAAACTACCCTGCTAGTATTATCAATGACTTGGCATTCGAAAAGACAAGAAAAACTCTCGAGTCCAATTAAAAACAATTAAAAAAACAAGGAAAAGGAAATAAACCAAACGCTTCTGTGGCTTTAACCACTTCGGAACTAAATACGTTGTATGAAAAAGACCTTCTCGGTACACGAAGTCCTGAGTCGCTTTTAAACACACTCTGGTTGAGTAACACTATGCATTTTGGACTCAGAGGTTGCAAAGAACACAGAGACATGTGTTTGGGCGATGTTAAGTTGAAGCAAACAGCAGACGGTGAGGAATTTTTAGAATTTAATGAAAGACAAACCAAAACAAGAACCGGTTCAGATTGCCGTGATGTCAGAAAAATGGCGCCTAAAATGTTTGCTACTGATGGGTCGGAAAGAGATCCTGTCGTGGTCTACAAACTTTACGAGCGGAAGAGACCAGGAAAAATGAACGAGGATGATTCCCCTTTCTACCTAGCTGTGAACAACACATTAAAGAAAGAGTCGCTTCAAACGAAAGAGTGGTTCAAGGCCGCTCCTGTTGGAATAAACAAACTGAACAGTCTGATGAAGACAATGGCTCAAAAAGCAGGAATCAACAACGAACGACTGCGAAATCACAGCGGGAGAAAAAAAATGATTCAAACACTTAGCGAAAATGATATTCCCCCGACACATAT